ATAGTAAAATGGACGCACGTTTATACCCCTTCTTATGAAAGAATTTCGTCTGCAAAAAAGCAAGTGCACGTGTAGTATGGCCCGTTCGTACCGCGTCCCGTCTGTGCCCCCGAAGAGTGTTTGTCCCTAAGAACAGTACCTTGGGCCAGAGTAGTCCGGGCCTGCTTCCTGCTGAAGCAGCTCCCTCTCGCTATCGCCCCTAAGTTGAGTGAGGCTCTACTCTACACGCGCATTCGGCCGCTCTCAAACACACGGCGAAACCCTCGACCAAGTGCGCGCACGAGCGGGGTCGACCAGGGAAGCAAGGTCACCTGCAGCACCGCAAAGCCATGCCCCAGCTGCGGCCCGTGCTTCGCCTCGAGCGCCTCCAGCAGTGCCGCCTGGCCCGCGAGGCCCATCCGATTAAATGGGGCGTTCACATGACACCTCTGACCCGCAGCCGGGAGGGCAGCCGCGAGTGCCATCGCGCCATCGGCACCCACGTCGCAGCCCCACACGTCTAGCGAACGCGACGGCTTGCCCATCGCGAGCGTCGTTGCTAGCGCCGCGGCTCCGTTGTCGCCGATGGGCGTCCAGCTGACGTTGAGCAAATGCAGCGTCGGCGCCACACCGCGACGGAACACGTCGCAGAGCGCGACGACACCACGCGCGCCGTAGCGGTTTACCGCAATGGAGAGGTTCTTAAGGTGGTAGCAAACCCTTGGCGCACGCATATCTTGGATGGCCGGCATGGGGCCTGAGGCGTCGCCCATGCTTGCCATGTGCAAGTAGATGGTAGAATGCACTAATAGGCACGTCGCGCAAGGTCGGGATCGCAAGTTATGCCCGCATCAAGCGCCGGTTCAGAGTCGTCCAGAGTCGTGGCACACACGCTGTGGCAGGCCGTGTAGCCACTGAGATGGCCTTATGACGACCCCATTTCGACATTGTCCCTAAGGCCTCTGCTCATGAGCTCCATGCGGGAATGACTGGCTCAACCAACTGATCACAAATTCCCACGATATCTCACAAAGCGCCAAAAGTCTTCATCGTGACAGCATAATTTGATGACTTCGATGTTGCAGAGAGAATTTGTGATCAGTTGGTTGAGCCAGTCATTCCTGCATGGAGCTCATGAGCAGAGGCCTTAGGGACGATGTCGAAATGGGGTCGTCATAAGGCCATCTGGGCAACCACACCGTCCGCCGTCCAGCACAATCGCCAGGGTGGCGAGCGCCGCACACAGCACTGTTCGTGCCGCGATCACGAGAGACGCGTGGTCACAAGCGCATCTAGCGCGTCGTTTGATACTGTCTGTCGGTCCCGGGTAGCCTCGGGCGGCAAGGGCGAGCTCAGGCGAGACACACAGCGCGGACGTCGACGCGCGAAACTTACGCGGCAAGAGATTGCTACCACCTTAAGGCCCTTGCCCTGCGAACGCGCACCCCCGGGGCTAGGGCTCTCTTGCCCGCAACCCGATGCCAATCATCCGGCCCGCTGGGTGCGCTTCTCAGCTCCCCGGCCCTGGGTGTGCGGTTACTGACTGCACTCCAAGTGCTCCAAGCGCAGCAGTGGAAGCTTAGCGATCTGGTCCCTTCCTGTTCGACCCACTCCCTTTGTTCTCTTCTCATAAAATCGGAGGGTCGGCCCACGGGGGAACTGAAGCGACCCAACGATTTTATGAGTGGCAGCAACCACCTGCACGAGCAGGATTTTGGAAGAACGATCAGGGGGACAGGTGGGGCTCTCCTGCTCCTGACAAGGGACACGACAGGCTCGCAGCGCGGTGCGCGGTGGACTCCCACATCCACTGGCGGTCTCATCTCAGTCTAGCGACCTGCCTCCAGGTTAGAGATTTCTTTGTTCGGAGTTTGGCGGTCTTTTAAATTCTTTTGGGTCGTTTCATCGCAACACTTCGCCATGCT